ACAAGGTGTCTTAGTAAATGTAGGTAGACGTAAAATTTACTTATTATTAAACTAATCTAACCTGATACGTTTCTTATTTTATATTTAGTTACTTTATTATAATAAATAAAGAATACACATGAAAAAGAAAAATATAGTACTTACCTGGGTCTTTTTTTTTTGCTATCAACTGTTGATGACACTTAACCCTACTTTATACTAATGGTAGTAGTGTACTAAATAATTTTTATTTACTTAAATAATGCACCAAAGAACTTATAATAATAATAATAATAATAATAATAACATGCAAAAAGCAGACAATGTCTCATAATTATCACAATTTTTCTGGCTTTCCAACTATGTTATAAGAGCTGTTAAAAATTCAGCTAAGCTTGTCAGTGTATTTCTGTGGGAAAAAAGTATGAACTGGAAGTGAAATAGACAATTCTCTTTACAGTAAACAATATAATATAGTATGTCATTTGATAGACTAAAACACTGGCTTTCTATTGGTTATAAATAATATTATATGAAATGTTGGAGAGAAAAATGAAAATTTGTGAAAGAGAGGATGTGACAAGTGGGCATGGCAGTGGGGTCAGATTTTCTAGTTTATAGCTCCATAAACAAATGAAATTGAAGACTATAAAAATTATGCTTTGCATGAGTAATAACTATATTTTAATGTGTAATTTACAATAAATTCTGTACTTCTCATAGCAGATGTCACAATCCTCATACTGAGAGAGATTGGAGATGTTTAATTAAATTTTGAATGTAACTCGGTAAAACTTCATGACATGCACAGACATGAGTTTAAAGAGTGTGTGCAGTAATCAAATGGTTAGCTTTTTGACTACGTGCTGAGTGGAATCCACTCATCTCGTAAACACCAAAGTAACCATGAGAGCAGTCGTACTATAACTTTTTATAAGGTATACATATCTTCATGAACTTTTGCAGGTTATCAGTAAACATTTCAAGGCTTTCATGCATAAAATATTGGGTTTTTAAATTTTTTAATTAAAGATTTTCTCATGCAAGTTTTCTTTTCAAATCTTGACTATCCAAAATAGAAAGTAATTTTGATTTTAAAATAAAGAATACTTTTATGGATCAAAATATTGTCAAATTTAATTTGTGACATCTCTATAACCTCCAGATAAGTATCAAAGTTTTTTTTTTAGAAAAACTTTATATCTTATCTGTCATTATCGCTATCTTATCTCTGTGCAGGCTTGGTCAAATAGACTAACCTCATAATTATCAAAACAAATTAGGAAATAGATCTAAATTATGCTTTTTTGTTCTAAAATTATTATAGATTATATCAGAAAACCATGAATGTTTATTTTAAATAGCTTAAATTTCATAACATCATACATCTATTGATATTTATTGTTTTATTGATCTATCAGCTGTGTCTGACTAATATTACAGAAGTTGCAATCATGAGGTGCATGTGCAGATCATGTTGCTGTATACAATAGCATAAAACTGGCCTTTTCACAGTGCAACTGTCTTAGTTTTGTTGTAGTGGATTAGTATTTTGTGAAATACAATCACATTTCAGTTATAATACTTTACATAGATATATATTTTATTACTATTTATAAATAAATTCTTAACTTTCAGTTATTATTCTTAAAACATAGAAAAGTAAATAAATAAATATACAAAACGCTGATCTCTGCTATGTACAATTGTCAGGAAGTTTGTACTTGCTTGCTATACCTTGCATACTAAGCCTTGTTGAATTTTTCATGTGGAGGATGTAAAACAAATTTTTTTAGGTTTTATGTATGCATTTTAAAATAAAAAATTACAAATTACAAAACAATACCACAGAATTCCATGTAATTTATCAGGCTTATTAACTAAGCTGTATTTGGGTATAAAAAATATTTTTTGATCACTATTTTGTCTTATCCATTTTCTTTGAGTTTTGAGACATAAGGACTATTTCTGGTAAATATACACCTTGCAAAGCCTGAGAAAACCACATGGGGGAAATTCTGAACTGTCAATTGGCTACAAACATGTGATAGAGTGAAGTGGGTGTATGTAAACAAGTATTTCCAAAAATGAAAGTAGTGGTCGGGTCCACTGTGTCTGATTTGCTAAAAATAGTGATATTTCAGTAACTAGAAAAGATAAGAGGTTCTTGTTTTACATTCTAGCTTGTCAATATCGTTAATTTGAGTTTCATTTTCATAAGAAACTTTAGACTTTGTTATTGGACTTTATCACATTTATTTGCACCAAAGCTGCATTCAACATACCATGTGGCACAGAAATCAGTATTGAGCAATTTTATTTTAATGTTTACTTTCAATTAAAAAATTAAATAATGTATAATGCTAAAATGTGAATAATAGTCTACAATTTGATGCCAAACTTATTACCATACATTCATAAAATAGTTCAATAAAATTTTGAATGTAAGTTTTCAAACATGATGACATGCCATTTGATCTCTACCCATAGAAAAACCAGCAGTAGAGCTTGGTGAAGAACTTGATTGACATGTTTGATTATGTGTTGCATGAAATAATCAATTAATTCAATTTACAATTAAATCTATTAATGTTGTGAAAATAATCAACTGATTGTGTTTCAGATTTTTACTGTTTTTTTTTATTATTCCAGATATTCAAGTAATCAATAATTGTCAACATGACTTCTCGTTATTATTTTTATTAGATTTAGACAGTTTAATGGGTAAAAAGCATATATTTTTGATAATTTCAAACATTGACTGTATTGTATTGGTGTAAAATTCCAAATATGTTGTTCATATATGCCATTTGTTCTCAACATAATTGTTGTGAATGTACCACTTTGGTTCATTCCCACACTCACCTGCTCTCTCCAGGTATCATGTATCAAGAAAACCTCATGTGCTCTGTTTGATAGAACATTTGAGAAGTCCCTCGACTGAGCATAAAAGGGGCAGTCAGACTCCTTGATTCATGCACAAAACAGTCCTTGCATCATCCCCACAATTTAATAAAATTCTGCAAAAGTTTTTTAAAATCTTTTAAACTCTAGTTCTGTAAACATAAGTCTTTTTTTATTTTTTAGAAAATCATTTGAAATGCTGGCTGACTCCAGTTCAAGTAAAGTCTTAAAGTGCAAACATCACCCATACAGTTTCTGTGGAAAATATATTAAAGTTTCACAAAGGAAAAAATATTTCACACAAGGTAAAGGTAGCTCACTATCCCTATTTTGGGTGTAAAATTGGTGACCAAAAAAAATACTGGGCTTCACATCTTTGTTGTAGAGTTTGCGCATCTGGCTTTGACACAGTAGCTGAATAAGAAGAGAGCAAGTATGCCATTTGCAGTTCTCATGATATGATGTGAGCCCAAAGATAATCCAACTGATTGTTGTTTTTGCATGACTAGTATTTCTGTATATTCAGACAAAACTAAACAATACATTAAATACCCAGATATTGCATCTCCAATGGAACCAGTACTTCTTGGGCATGGTTTTTCAGTGCCACATCCACCAGTGAACTGGGAAACAGAAAAGTTATGCTGTGAAGAAGACAAGGTATCATCTTCATCTAGTAATTCTATTCCTGTGACACCACAACATAAACTGCCTCATTTGATCATACAAGAACATGATCTGATTTGTGATGAAAGTTTTGAACCTAGCTTGAATGTGTCTTCAGTATATAATCTTATTATATTCATTGATTGTTGTTTTTGCATGACTAGTATTTCTGAATATTCAGGAAAACTAAACAATACATTAAATATCCAGATATTGCATCTGTAATGGAACCAGTACTTCCTGGGCATGGTTTTTCAGTGTCACATCCATTGGTGAATTTGTAAATAGAAAAGTATGCTGTGAAGAAGACAATGAATCATCTTCATCTAGTAATGCTATCCCTGTTGCACCTCCACATAAACTACCTCATCTGATCACACAAGAAGAGCTAAATGATTTGTGACTTGTCTTTATTTAAGCAGCATGGGGAACTTCTTGGCTTTTGTTTACAGCAATGGAATTTACTAGCTCTAGGAACAAGAGTTTTTATTTAATGAAGTGGCCATCAAAGTCTTGCTTCTCACTATAACATACAAGATACTTTATGTTTCTGTACAAATGTTGATGCACTAATGGAAGAATTGGTTACTGAACATCATCCTCAAGAATGGAGACTTTTTATCGACTCATCTAAAGTTAGTCTGAAAGCTGTACGTTTGCACAATGGGAACAATAAGCCATCGATTCCTGTTTCTTATGCTGTGAACATGAAAGAAACTTATCAAAGCATGCAGATTATACTTGAGACTGTTAAATATGATCACCATAGGTGGAACATATATGGTGATCTAAAAGTTATTGCACTTCTGCTAGGTCTGCAGAGTGGATGTACCAAACAGTGTTGCTTTTTGTGTCTTTGGGACAACCGAGATGATAAAAATCATTTGAAAAAGAAGGAATGATCAGTGAGAGAGAATTACATACCAGGGAAACAGAATGCCGAGTACCTACCTTTATTGAATCTGCAAAATGTGTTTCTGCCCCCACTTCATATTAAACTGGGACTTGTGAAGAATTTTTGTAAGAAAATTAACAAAGATGGTAATGGTTTCAGATATCTACCTGACAAGTTTCCAAAAATCAGTGAAGCAAAAATGAAAGGAGGTATATTTTTTTGGGTCACAGATTCAGGAAGTGCTGATGGATGACAATTTTTAAGCAGTATGCAATCAGAAAGAACTGTAAATCAATCAAACTGGTTGTCAAAAATTTCTTAGGAAATCACAGAAAAGAAAATTCTGCCGTGATGATTAATGATATGCTTGAGAATGGCAGAAAAATGGGGTTTAGGATGTCACTAAAGATGCCCTTCTTACACTCCCATTTAGAATTTTTTCCGAATGATCTACATGCAGTGAGTGATCAGTATGTTGAGCAATTCCACCAAGATATTTCTACAATGGAACAGTGATATCAAGGATGATGGGATCCTACAATGATGGAAAATTACTGTTGGTTCTTTCAAAAAATAAAAAATAATGCCATGATGAAAGTTTTGAACATAGCCTATTATACTCATTGCTTTTTTTAAACTGGTATTGCTATTATGTATTGTTTTTGGACATTCTTAAATGCAATTTTCAATGAATAAAGAAGGTTATTAAAGAAAAAGCTATTATTATGATATATAAGAATATTTTGAATAAATCTGTCATAACTCAAAAACAAGAGGCGATCAGTAATTTTCAACATGGCTTTTAGAATTGGCATCATTAAATTCCTCAGAAACAGTTGCTTTTTTGCTAGTAGCAGAGACTGTTTTTGATTATTCCAACTATCAAAATCTCATGTGAGAATAGTGGGTTTGCTGAATATAACCAATGACGGAGCCTGATGGTTAATTTATTAACCAATTTCACTAATTGCCAAGCTCTGTTAAGCAGTGTGGGGGATTTTATAGATATGTGAGAAACTGTGGCTGAATGCTATTTTTAAAATGCATACAGTAATATAATCAAACATTTTTTCTCCTTTTTACAGGAAAGAAGAAAAGTCACATTCTCTTCCTGAAGAAGAACCACTTTCAGAAGCAGAAGAAGCAGACAATGAAAAGGGAATGCTTGTAATTACAAATGAAGGTAAAGAATGATGTATAATGTGAGAAATTCCATCTTTGTATTTTTCCCATCATGTGAACTATATCAGAATTATTATGTTATTTAAATATGAATTGTAAAAATTACTCTGTTAATGTCTGTAAATCATTATGTCCAAGTTGTCAACTGTACAGTTTTATAAATAACAGGAAAAAAAACTTTTTTTTTTTTTAAATCTTGAAAACATTACAGCTTTTTGGCCTTCATTTAGTGCTATTATTTGTAAAGATTTGAATGTGGCAAGATTTTTTATCTTATATTACATTCAAATTCTTTGTAATGCAAGATACTTGTATCTTGTGGTTTTTTTTCTTCATTATTTTCTGTAGCTATTACATATTTGAATGCCTCCCAATGGCACAGCGGTATGTCTGCGGACTTATAATGCTAGAATCCGGGTTTCTATACCCGTGGTGGGCAGAGCACAGATAGCCCATTGTGTAGCTTTGTGCTTAGTTACAAACAAACAAACATATTTGAACTTCAGAATGCTACCCATATTTAATAGCAATAACAATGTATTTTTTGATAGAAATGCAAAGAGCTTTTGTTTTGTCACCTCATAATATCAAAATAATGTATAATACTATCCTTTTTTTTTTCATTCACTTGTATACTTTTGACCACAAGGTAAGTTTCATTGGCACGGAATCACAAAAACCTTAAATTTATAATTTTGTAAAAATGTATTTAGCCATTTATTTACGCTAGCAGAAATGCCACCCTATTGGCAACTGTTTGTACTAGTAATTATTAATTGTAGTATTCATACCTCATTGAAAAAAATTAAGAAAAATTGATCATTTTCTAAAAAAGGATTTTTCTGGGAAGTACTGCATGGGAAGAGTGTTCGGATTGTGCTGACATAAACTGTAATATTTTTATATATTAAAAGTGAAAATATAGTAGTTTTTTAAGAACTCCATTTTTTTAGTACTGTTATGACAGCGGAAGTCACGTAACCCTGGTAACACGTAATGAGTATCTAGAAGGATCGGGGAACATCATGAATAATCCAGTATATGCTAGACGCCCTCTATTCCTGTATATAAGCAGGCAAATAAACTGAGATAATTAATTGAATTGCAGACAGGCAGAGATAGAGACGGACAATTTAGTCAAGCGCAGTAGTGACCGTAAGGAAAGTGCGTTGTGAAGTATAGCGTGTGTTTAAGTTAAAGTGACT